GGGTAATTATTTGAACATGTTTCTTCTTTTAATGTGTGTTTGGTTGCTGAGAAAATGCTGGAGAAAAGAAAAAAGAACTTTCAAATGTTTGTTTTTTGGGTGGTCGTTTAGGTTTTTGTATGAATGTTGAAGAATATTGGTTTTACCGTAAAATTACTAGTATGGGTGCAATACAATCTCTTAGTCGTTGTAAGGCCCTTTCACTGATGTGATAGTCTTTTACCTTCACATCCTTACATGCCCCTTTACGCGAATTTGCTTTCTCCTTTTACTGATGCGGGACTTTTTGTAAAACTGTAACACTCTTAGGGTTTCACTTTAATTGCATACCCACACAGTAATGGGATGCATATATTTATAACAACTTCAAGATTACAATATGAGTTTGAAAACCCTACAAACTAGGAATATCAGAAAAGATATGAGTTGGATCAAAATCACAACTCTACGTACAACAAACATTTGAAATACAAAAACCCTACAAACTAGGAATATCAGAAAAGATAGGAGTTGGATCAAAATCACAACTCCTCAAATCTCGGTGAGAACAGCTGGAGCTTGACTTCATCTAACACCCCCCCGCAAGCTAACAGGTTGAGGAACAACTGGAAGCTTGGACACCAACAAATTGAATCGAGACGAAGACAGACCTTTGGTAAATAAATCTGCAAGCTGATCTTGTGAACAAATATAATTAACCAACAATTCACCACAAACCACTTTCTCCCTGACATAGTGATAATCAACCTCTAAATGTTTGGTTCTAGAATGGAATACCGGATTGGAAGCAAGAGCAATTGAAGACACATTGTCACACCATATTTGAGGGCGAGTAAGATGTAACTGCAAGTCACGAAATAAAGACCTCAACCACGAAAGCTCAGCTGCTGTGTAGGCGAGTTGCCTATACTCGGCCTCAGCACTCGATCGAGAAACAGTTTTCTGTTTTTTTGAACTCCATGAAACCAGATTTGAACCAAGATAAATACAAAACCCCCCAGTTGAATGCCGAGTATCCGGATTCCCAGCATAGTCCGCATCTGAAAAAGCAGAAAGATGGGCAGTACCGAGCTTGTAAAGGAGACCATGGCTATGCGTCGCCTTCAAGTATCGTAGAATCCGTTTGACTGCCATCCAGTGAAGAGTTGTTGGAGCATGCATAAACTGGCATACTTGGTTAACTGCATAAGATAAATCGGGACGAGTTATCATTAAGTATTGTAGAACACCGACAACATTACGATACATGTCTGGTTTATCAAACGGATCTCCAACATATGCACTTAGTTTTTGACCAGAAGATATGGGTGTAGAAATCGGTTTGGCATCTGTGAAATGTGTTCGTGACAATAAGTCAATAGCATACTTGGATTGGCACAAATGCATTCTATTTCCATCGTACTTAACCTCTACACCCAAAAAATAATTAAGTAGTCCCAAATTCTTCATGGAAAACAAAGTACCCAGCTTTTGAATTAACTGAATTATGTGAGAAGAACTGTTGCCAGTAATCAGAATATCATCCACGTAGATGAGCAGGATAAGATGCACCCCTTTTTGGTTGAACACAAACAAACTATAATCAGAAGTTGATTCCTGAAAACCAAGTTGAAGCAGGAAGTCTGAAAACCTCTGAAACCATGCCCTCGGAGCCTGTTTAAGACCGTAAATGCTCCGTTGAAGTTTACAAACATGATTGGGTAACTGTTGACCAACAAACCCGATGGTTGACGCATGTAAACTTCTTCGTTCAAGAAACCATGCAGAAACACATTTTGGACGTCAAGCTGCCTAACTTGCCAACCTTTTGAAACTGCAAGACTTAAAATAAGCCTAATGGTGCTGTGTTTAACCACTGGACTAAAGGTCTCATTATAATCCACACCAGTCTTCTGATGAAAACCATTTGCGACAAGGCGAGCCTTATAGCGCTCAATTGTTCCATCTGCACGTCTTTTCAATTTGAACACCCATTTACTTGGGAGCAAATTCATCTTTGGATGAAACGGGACCAAACTCCACGTGCCACATCGTTGTAGCGCATTAAATTCCTATACCATGGCATTTCTCCAGTCCTGGGACTTGACAGCTTGACTGAAACAAGTCGGTTCAATTGGAAACTTGTCAACAGTTACATGCATAGCATATTTAGGGTTAGGTTTTTGGATGCCAGACTTTGAGCGTGTAGTCATGCGATGGCCATTATTTTCTGACAGCACTTGTACTGATTCCATGGATACCATAGCTTGTTCATTTGAAGGTATGGGTGATGACAGAGGTAAGGACGACACGAGTGTAGTGGAAACTGGACTCGATGAGACAACTGAAGGGTTTGGGACAGGTTCAGTCGGTGCGGTGGGTGGGGCAGGTTGAAACTGTGTGGTGTTTGGAGGTAAGGACAACACGGGCGTAGTGGAGGCTGGACTGGATGAGACAATTGAAGGGTTTGGGACAGGTTCAGACTGTGCAGTGGATGGTAAAGAAATAATTTCATTAAAAGGACAATTTTGACGGACAGGAATAACAGGTACATTAGGTGAGTGAGATAAAGGAGACGTGCTGATATCATCAAAATTAAATAATACCACGGGAGAGTTAAATGTACCTGAATCGACGACATTTTCTGAGGTAGATGTGAGTCCCTTAAAAGGGAAAGAGTCCTCATCGAATAGGACATTGCGAGACAAGTAAATTCGTCTTGTGGACAATTCCAAACATTTGTAGCCTTGGTGATTCAGTGAATAACCTAAGAAAACACAAGCTTTTGATTTTGGTTGCAGTTTATGTTGTGTGTATGGGACTAACCATGGAAAACATCGACAACCAAACACTTTCAACATGTCATACTTTGGAACTCTTTTAAACAACTTCTCATAAGGTGACATATTGGATAAAAGTTTTGTTGGCATGCGATTTATCAGGTACGTAGCTGTAGAACAAGCATCAAACCAAAACTTATTAGGAACGTGAGATTGAGAAAGCATAACTATACTGGTTTCAACAATATGGCGATGTTTCCTTTCTGCAAGTCCATTTTGTTCAGGATGTTTTGGGCATGAAAAACGTTGTGAAATCCCACTGTCAGAAAGAAACTGTTGAAAAGCACGACTTTTATATTCCCCCCTTCATCACATTGAAGGGTTTTAATTGCAAGATTAAACATGTTCTCGACAGTGGCTTTAAATTTTACAAATATCTCAAAAACTTCACTTTTATTTTTCATGGGAAAAATCCAAGAATACCTAGAGTAGTCATCCACAAACAACACATAGTAACGAAAATTTTCATTAGAAATAACTGGAGAAGACCAGACATCAGAGTGCAAAAGTTCCAATGGAAACGAAGAAACAGACTCGGACAAATTGAAAGGTAACTTTTTACTCTTGCCTAAGGGACATGACTCACAAAAGCTTACATGAGGAGTACCATGAATTGGTACTAGTTTATTGGAAATTAAAAACTTAATTATTGAGTTGGCAGGATGACCAAGTCTAGCATGCCATTTTTGCACTGAACACCGTACCCCTACCAAGGCTGACATTGAAGACTGGAACCGTCCACTGCCATTTGGAAATGGGTATAACCCATTCTCACATCTCCCTCGGAAAAGCGTCTTCCGAGTCTTGAGGTCCTGAACAAGAAAAAAAGATGGGAATATTAGCAGGTAGCAATTGTTGTCTAAAGTAAACCTATGGGCAGATATGATGTTTTGAGAAGCAGTGGGGCAGTGAAGAACGTCATTCAAATCAAAAGAACAAGCTTTAGTATTTAGTTGTTGGGAACCAAAATGAGAAATAGTGATGCCAGAATCATTACCTACACCCCCCAATAGTTTCATTACCATTGTACTCTTTGGGATTAACCAAGTTTTGAAGGTCAGGAGTGACATGTGCATTCGCACCACTGTCTAACAGCCAGGTACCATTGGATTGCTTGTTGAGAGTAATAGGCGAGGAGGACATGGCTGTGAGTTTGTGTGGAATACAAAAACCCTACAAACTAGGAATATCAGAAAAGATAGGAGTTGGATCAAAATCACAACTCCTCAAATCTTGGTGAGAACAGCTGGAGCTTGACTTCGTCTAACACTTTTTTACCTGCATATCCTCACACGCTCCTTCACGTGTGACAAATTTTCAGACTGTTTTTGACAACATAAATCATGTAATGTTGAGCACGTGGGCCAAGCTACTATGATATTATTAAGAAAGTTGAGGAATTGGCAATATGAGGAGTAACTGAACATCTTATTTCTTGTAAGGAATTTCCTTTCAACGATGTGAGACTCTTTTATCTTCACATCCTCAAAGTTAAGTTTGTTGGGTTTGTTGAGAGGTGAGGTTTTTCTTCTTTTTGTTTATGAAAAAGAGTAATTGTTTCAGGTTGTCTTCACGATCACCCCGTTTAATTTTGTTCAAGTTCGTCTCCATTAAACATTTAGAAGATGCTCTAAGTGGTCATATCACTGAACTCATGAACCATTTGACAGCTTGATCGTAGAAGTAGCCATGCATTGTGAAATGGTTGGTGTCAGTCAAGGAAACAAAAGCGCCCTTGGACATGTTACACTGGTAATCCTTAGTTCCTTTTCTTTTACTCTCTGTTCTGTCATATTGTCATTGCATGCTAGATCTCTGAGCTTGGCATTGTTGGCAAACAGTTTTGTATCTATTATTTCCTTAGTTGATTCGTTAGTTGTGTTTCAGTAGTTGGATATTATCTTACGATTCGTACTTTAACTTGTTAGGATCATTGATTTCTAATACTCCAGTTTCATGGCAGGTAAATAGATGGGGAAATGTTGTATATGATGAGTTTGTTCGCCCGGTAGAAAGCGTTGTTGATTTTCTTACTGAAATAAGTGGCATTCGTCCCCGATACTTGAGAAAAGGTTGACTTTTATTTGTATTTATATTGAATGCAGGTGTTCTTCATTAGTCATAAGTTCAGCTATTAAGCCTATTATATTATGTCAAGTTGGTCTTCAGTTTATTTATTAACTTGTAAGAGTTAAAAGAACATATTTCTGAAAATCATTCTTTCAGTGATGGAACGTCTCGTGCATCTTTGTTATCTGCAGCAAAGGATTTTCGAATTGTTCAGAAAAAAAGTGGCAGAGTTGATCAAAGGGAGAATTCTTGTGGGCCACGCATGGCGCAATGATCTTAAGGTATCTGGCTTTCTAACATGGTCGTGTAAAGTACCAGATGTGATTCTTTCATCTGATGGTTTGACTTAAACAGGCATTGCTTTTAAGTCATCCCAAGGAGGACAACAGGGATACATTAGAGTATGAACCGTTTATGAGGTAATTTTTTCTTTCTTTAATACTTCTTCAAACATCAAAATTGTGCCGATCGTCTTGAAGTATTATGATGTGTCCTCATGATATCTGTGGTTGGGGAAGCAGGGGGAAGGGTCCAGAAGGGCACTTCGGCGTCTTGCAGCTGAGTTTCTTGACGTCAAGATCCAAAATGGAGAGCACTGCCCTGTTAGTAATTTGATTCTTAGATGATGATTATTGATCGTTTTTCTTAATACAGTTCGGTATTCTTATTGCAATGTCTGTACTGCATCTTAAGCATTAGGAATGTAGGATATTGATTTCAAAACTTCCACTGAAATGTGACAAGGCTTATCAAAATTCAAAAGGAACAACGCTATACAACCCGACTTTTTATCCCGACATTTCTTTCCCATGCTCATATCGGGTTTGACACATTGTTCTTCTTTTATTGCAATTATGTGCATGTAAGTTGGGGAAAGAAAAGGTGGGATAAATATCATTTTCCTATCAAAACTTTGAATTGGTGTAGATGTTTTTATGCCAAACTGATGTATTACCTGCTTGGCTGTCGTCCTGGTAGTCGTTTTGCTCCATTTCTTAATGTGTTTCAGGGTTTATATTAATTAACTTTCAATTCTTATGTGTTTCTGCATATTATATGTCATTGGCTTCTCATGAACAAAATTTGTTGAAACTTTGCAAATGGTCTAACTGATGATACTGTTTTAGATAGAAAATGCTTGCTCTACAATGGTGCTTTATCAGAAAAACAGAAAAGCATGGGGAAAGAGAGTTAAAGATCAAATTAAGCTCAAACAAAAGCAGAAAAAACGCAAGCCTAAAAGGAAGCGGGCGAAGGGAGATGAATTGGAAACTGATGATGCAGAAACGGAATCCTAGTACTAACTTTGTGTTTGCAGTTCCATTTTCAATTTGGAAGAGAAGGAAGCACAAAATCGGTGGACTACCAGACAATTTCCGTCACCAAACAGAGCTACTCGTAGTCTCAAGGGCTTCGTCGTTAACTTTCCAATTGATCAGAAGATTTTCCTTCATCACCATTCTTTCTCCCATAGTCGAAAACTTCCATTTTTGTCTGCTAAATTTTATTTGATATGTGATCTTTTGGTAAATCTATGTACCAACAAAATACATGCTGTAAAATCATTGCTTTAAGGTACAATTCCCAACCCGCCCCCCTTTAAATTGAATTGTTAGTGCAGCATTGATCTTAAATTTTCATCAGAGTAAATGATTGCAGGATAAACTTGTGGATCTGCCCCTGTTTTGTAAAACTTTCATGTACATGGGATGCTACGGAGGTGGTATCACCAGTCACATAGTGCAACATGAGAAAGTTAATAAAACGTACAAACTTCCACAACAACAACAAAGCCTTATTCTACTAAGCAGAGTGTGCTATATGAATTCTAAAACGTCATTGCGCTCGGTTTCGTGCCATGTCTTCTGTAAGATCCAAGTAGTCCAAGTATTTTCTTAGAGTCTCTTTTTGAGTCTTCCAAGGTCTTTATTTACCCCTTCGGCCCTAAGCATCTGTCTCGTAATCACATCTTATAACCAGAGCGTCTGTGTATCTTTGTTTCACATGTTCAAACCACTTTAGCCAAAAATAAATGATTTAGTTCCACAATATATTTTCTTCCAAGACACTATCTGTTTTTAAATTTTATTAGTGTTTATTAATACAAGTAAATTAATGATGATACACCAACTTAATGAGGAAAATAAATTATTTACACGCATCGAGTTTATCGTTGTCATAACGTCTCATTCGTACATAAAAATTTACAAATCGATCCTTGAAAGAGGGTCTCGCTAGCGGATTGGGAGTGGCACCTCGGTTCGAATTTGGCATGATCGGTGGTTAGATCGTCCCCATCTGTTTAGACCTATCATGCCTTCCTCATCGTTTCCTGGAGTAGAGTTCGCTGCAGATTTAATTGTCACGGAATCGGTGTCTTGGAACTATGATTTGGTGAATGCTTTATTTCCTCCATCGGAACCAGCTTTGATTCTTGCTACTCCACCAAGTTGAAGTTTGCCCACGGATAAGCTAATATGGCATTACGATGCGAAAAGTGTGTTCTCAGTAAAGAACGCTTACAAGATTGCTTTTACTCGTCGTTTTGAGGCCTCTTCTTCGCATTCAGTTTCGAGGGGAGTTCCGGTTTGGAAAGCTTTATGGAAGGCTACTGTCCCGGGCAAAGTTCAAATGTGAGTTTGGAGGGTATGCAGAGACATTTTGCCCACTCATGCTAATCTGGTAACCAAGGGAATTGTGGTGGATAATTTATGTCTTTTTTGTAGTTCCTTTTCGGAGTTGACGCTACAAGTTTTCACTGTTTGTCCATTTGCTCGTGCAATGTATGATGCCTCTCAACTAAATCTGGGATTGAGACTTCCGGCAAATGCTTCTTTGTGTGATTGGTTGTCATTATGTGTGGATCAGGTTTCTTAAAGTCAGTTTGCACTACTGCTTATGATTATACATGGCATTTGGCATGCTAGAAATGCCTTGCTTTGGGAGAATAAGGTGGCGAACCCAGCCTTAGTCTCTCATATTTCCAAATTGCAGTTGTCGAAGTTTATTAAAGCTAGGCCTGGCCTTGTTTCACGTCCCCTACAGGTGCTGAAGCGTTGGAGTCCCCCTCTGGCTGGATGGGTGAAAATCAATGTTGATGGTTCTTTCCTCTCTAGGTCGAATGTGGGCGGTGTAGGAGGGGTATTTCGTGACGAAACCGGTAGCTATGCTGGGGGTTTTGTTTGCCAAATACCATATGCATCGTGCTTCACTATGGTAAAGTTTCTGGCAGTCCGTGAGGGAATTCGCTGGGCAGCGGAAAGGAATTTAGATTGCATTATTGCGGAATGTGACTCGTTGCAGGTGGTTCAAGTTGTTGGCAGCCGATTCTAGGGGTCTGCTCCTATGGATCTTCTAGCGGATGGCATTCGTGCTAGTTTGCGAACCTTTGTGGATTCATGAGTTTGTTATGTGCGCCGTTCTGCGAATGCTGCGGCACATGGTATAGCCAAATTGGTTATATCTTTTCCTATTGAGTTTTGTTGATTTGAAAAGCCTCTGGATCCGATTGTGGAGGCCCTCGTTGATGTTGTTTGATTTTTTTTGATTCAATAAAAGTTATTGATTCTCTTCAAAAAAAAAAAATAATAATAATAATAATAATTTAGACTTTGTTATTAGTTCAAAACTTCATGCGGCAGTAAAACCGGTTTCGCGTAAGTTTATCCGAGATACGTATTTGACCTTTGGCTGTTTAAAAATGAAAAATATTTCTTACGTGGCAAAACCGCAAGCGTTTGCCCATAAATAGAGAGTAGAGACCGCCCTTGTTTTCCTCAGCAGGAAATATAGCGTGTTTTGTAGACCAATCATACGATTTAGCAGCGCGCCTTCTCACTTCCAGGTACGATCTTTCTTTCTCCCTCCTCTATCTCCGTTCTAGGGTTCGTAATTTTAGGGTTTCTTTAATTCAATTCTCACATAATTCTAAGCTGCTGTCAAATTTGGGGTCTTCTTTCTTCCTTCATCGTATGTTAATTTCCCCTTTTCTACTTCAATTTTGTTTCTTTCACTGTAATTTTTCTAGGGTTTTTGGCCACCTTTTAGAATTTTTCTTTTCTATTTCATATATTGCGAAATTTGGAATTTGGGTAGCATGTTTTCTGCTGCAAAATTTCGTTCTTGATACAATTAACAACAAACACTTTTCTTTCAATTCCAATGGTTTTTAGGGCTTAATGTCTTCGGAAACCCAGTAGTCGCTTTCTCCTTGTACTTTTCATGCATTTGAATATCGCAGCATTGCGATAATTTTTTTACACGAAATAGTTTAAAACCTCTCTATGCGCACTCGGCACTCCGCTGCACACAAAGGGTTTATGTAATTGTTGATTGGATCATATTCTCTAAAATGATGGTAGGGATTGCACCATCTATCTATGTGGGGTGCTCAGGTGAACTGGTGGCTGTATGTATTTGTTAGTATCTTGTATGCGAACTGACGGGTTAAATTATGACAACAGGACAGAATTTTTTTGAGAAATGGGCAAGAGAAAGGCCAAGGCAAAGCCTGCAGCTAGGAAGCGAACGGACAAGCTGGATACAGTTTTCTGTTGCCCTTTCTGCAACCATGGGAGCAGCGTTGAGTGTCGCATGTAAGTTTTTATTTAATCTGTTTTTGCTCATGTTTTGGTGTATGTAACTTCTTAGGAAGTATTGAGTTCCGCTGGTTCTTGTAATTTCTATGGTACTGCTGATGAGTGTGGTTTTGTCGCTTACGTATGAGAATTATGGTCTGTCACATATGGTGCGAGAATTGGTCTATGCCATTGTGGATAATGTGTCACTGTATTACATTTCCTTTTCCACTTTTGAGTTTCATTTACAAACTAGCATCTGATTGGGTAGCGTACTTGCACATGTATCTTCTCTCACTTTGTATCAAATTGAAATTAAGTTATTTGGTTTCAGTGACATGAAAAACTTGATTGGCGAGGCTATCTGTTGCATTTGCCAAGAGAATTTCAGCACAACTGTCACAGGTATGTCAAATACTTTACTCTTGTCTTAATTTACCATTGGGGCGTAGTGTTAGTATAACAGGATGGAAAGATCATTATAACACATAAATCTCAGATGTAGGAGATGTAGTGAGGTTTAGGTAAATCATTCAAAATGGAAATATGTTTCTGAACAGACTTGTGAATATTTTGATCACAAGGTATGGATTGTAATGGTATATGGACAGAAAAAGGACGGCATTAGGAAATTTGTGGATAACTTGATTAAAATTTTTATTTCAAATGTCTATCAACCTCAAATTGGTAAACTAGATAGGAAGTTCCTCTAGGTTGTAGGAAAAAGTGGTAGATCTGGTTTTAACTCACTTCTTTGTTTAGATACTTCTCTTGTTTTTCATATAGGGACTGCCTTATCCATATGTATTCGTAGTTATTGATATATTTTTTGTTTGTTTTTTTCAGCTTTGACTGAACCAATAGACATGTAAGTAGAAATTCATATGAATTTGTTCTTATTATTTTCCGGCTAGTGGGTTTATTAAAACTTAGTTTCTCTTTTCCTTTACCTGTGTTCTTGACCATAAAATTTTCGATTACAGATACAGCGAATGGATAGACGAATGCGAGAGGGTCAACACTGTCGATGATGACGGTGCTTAGGTGGAAAGTTCAGTCGTATTGTAAAGGAAAGAGAGCGCTGGAAGGTTCTGTGCCCTTGTGTCCAATTAAGTACTAACGAACCTTATTCGTGCTTTGGTTGTGAACGTAGTAGTTTTGAACCTATGCAGGCAAATGTATATTGATATCGTTCTGTTTATTGAGTGAGCATATATAAATACATGTACTGTAACATACTCGTAACGTTATGCGATAATGGAATAAATAAGATATCGTGTTGCTGTCCGTTTGCTTCAATTTACCTGTTGGTGGCGGTTCTTTCAGCTAGTGTTCATGCTTTTCCGGTGAGGGTTGATGTGGATGATTAGTCACTTGTCTGTCTAGTAATTTCACGCTGATGTGGGCGGCGTGCCAGTGTGATTGCTTACCTCCCATGTATTCTTCTAAGGGCATGTTTACTCTTTAAGGAATCGACGTTTTCGATATGGTCCAGTTTGGTTCACCAGTTCATCGAACCGCTAAACGGAATTGTTAATAGTACGGTTTTATATAAGAAACTAATGATACTCCCTTTTCTGTTTCATGGGTGGCGTTACTCATATTCTTTTTTTATTTTTTATACACTCCTTTCAATTTCCCAATTTCCACTGTTGAATCGTATGGAGTGAAAATGATCAAAGGAATTAATAGAGGGCGTGTAGAAGGTAAAATTGGTATGTGAATAGCATCATCCTATTTGATTTTACCAAGGTTCTAAAATATGCTAATCGGGCGACTGGCTGGAGCCTAGCACTTAGGCGGCTAGGCCCCTAAGCAGATTTAACTAAATCTATCATATTTTGTGTAAATAAGTATTTGCTTATACTTAAAATATATATAATTTTATCATAAACTACAAAATAGAATGCATATATTATGAAGTATTGGAACATAATGAAAACATGTGAAATAATGATATAATGTGTGTTCATTTAAGTATGCAACCAGTATCTTACAATTTATTGGAAAAAAATAAATGCAAAATGGAAGTTATCTATTTTCTGTCTAAATAAGTTGTGACCTAGATGGGTGTCTAGGCAAGTATGGTGGGGCTAGGTGGGCACCTCAGCAGTCTAGGCGCTGTTTCTTAATGTTCAAAAGCCTAAGCATTAATCGGGACGGTGACCAGCCACCTAGTGTCTAGACAGTGCTAGGCGGGAATTTTTAGAACAGTGGATTTTATACACAAATATTAGAGTTCGTTTTTCTTCCATTTCTTTCTTTTACTGCATTTTAAAGAAAGTAATCCTAAGGCTGGAATCCTTACCATAAGGGTCCATTTTGAATAGGTTTCTAAATACAAGGATATCTAGAAATAAAAGGTAAAAATTTAACAATTGTAAAAGATACATTTTGGCTTATTAGTTTTTTACAAAAGTAGCAATTTTTCTTCCATGAACGTGCATCTTCATGATTTTTTTTAAAAAAAAAAGGAAAACTAATGAAAAAGACTTAAAAACTTTGAGTTTTAACGATAAAGGTAAAATAAAAGGTAAAATAAATAGTACCAGATTTAACTTTTTAATGTAAAATTATGGTTTTTTGTTAAAGTGAACAGTACCGCTGACTTTTCGTTAAAACTTCCTAAAAAAAAAGAATGACTAAGATTAAATTTTTTTTTAATAATTATGAAAGTTAAATTTAACGGTTAAAAGATTCGTAATACTATCACGTAGCAGCATGAAAGTCACGTCCAAAATCTAACTAAAAAGCTAAAAGCCTTGCCCCCAAATTTTGGTTTTATTTGGGCTTCAAAAGTACATCGCAAACCAAAAACCCACCTTCTCCCTCCTCTCTCTCTCTCTCTCTCTAAATTTCGGTGGTAACGTTTGTTTCCTTTCCCAGAATTTGCGAGTATAAATTGTTGCGATTTGTCTGTTCCCTCACACTCACATAACGCACTTTTCGAAAACCCACCTCTCCTGTCTTCGTCTCTAACTTCCCTTTTGCTTCTTCTGCACAAAATAAACATATCAATTGAAGTTTCTCCTTTGCTCGTTGGAGTTCCACGCGTAGAGAGAGCTGCCATGGGTCGGCCTCCGAGCAACGGAGGCCCTGCCTTCCGCTTCGTCCAGTCCGAGGTACCTTCTCTTCTCCTTCTTCTTCCTCTTGTTCTTCAATTTTGTTCATATTTTGACGATTTTGTTGATTAGGATTGTTGTTTGTGTTTGGGAATCTGCTGCATTTCGAAATTAGAGGTGGAGTTCTTGTTGAGTTTTCGTAGGTTTTTTATTCTTATGTTTGCGCGTGTGCTGAATTTTGAATTGGAGTTGGATTTTGGAAAGTGGGGTTTTCGAAATTTTGTATTTGTAAGTAGAAAATGTCAAATTTCGAACTCAGAGTCGTGATTCTTAAATGGGTCTGTTAGATTTCAGGGGTTTTTTTTCCCCGAACTTTTGGGTTGTGCTTTTGATTCCTGTTTAGGATTTTTTTTTTTTTTTTTTTTTTGGTGATGGTAATTTAAAATTTTGAATGTTTAGAATTCCGTTGATCGATCTTCTGTTTCTTGAAAAATGTTGTTAAAACTCTGTTTGATAAGCTTTTCGTGGTGTAATGCATATGGATCGGATGGTTTGTCTTGCTGGTCTGCTGTAAATAATGCCTTTGTGTATTCAGTTTGTAGTAGGATTTGGCGGGCTCTTTCTGTGGGCATTCCCCGCGGTATCGATACTTAACTAAAATATTTAAAATGGAATAGGCATGGCTTGTGAAATCATGCATCTTTTCACGACTTTATTGCTGTTTAACTAAAAGCACAGGTTGAAACTGAAAGCACCCCTTGGTGATCCCCTTTGCATTTGAAGGGTTTGGGATTGAACATTTAGAGTACATCTCAAATAAACCTTTTGTACCGTTTTTGATTTCTAACATTTAGCTCTCTTCTCAATATCAAATTGGAATCTGCTAACGGTATATGCGTGGTAGGACCATAAAGTCCAGTTTGGATTGTATACCTGTTATTGGTTGTTAGTTTACCCTAATGAGAGCTCTGTATTAGTTAAAAACTTAAAATGCATCCATATTTGCCTAAAATTGTTCTTGGATGTCAATTCTGTTGAAGAGGTAATCATATTTTTCCTCCACACAATCAAATGTTTAAATGCTCTAAAATCAGTTGATGGAATCACAACATATGCAATGTAGGTATAGAAGTAATTATTCATAAGGAAAGGAGAAGTTCCACGAAGGAAATTTTCACTTTTTAACCGTTCCTACCTCTTATATATGCCTATTGCATATCCATATTCCACATGCATATGCATATATGATTGGATTCTGACATTTTTTACCACTAGCCTCCATGTACGTGCTCCGGTGCGTGAAGAGCTTCCTTTAATGTCTTTGTCCACGTGTGCGAAGGCTTTCTTTATTGTCTTTTTCTATGCGCGCTGCGCGCGTTTTATTACTGACTTTTTACATGTTTTGTGTAGAACTTTTTTCGTGCTATATCGAAAGAAAGAATAATGCCAATGAAAATATAACGAATGCATCTAAGATGGAACAATGAGAAATATGAAAACATATAAAGAAACAAAATTAAATCATGAGTGCATGAAAGTGAAATTGAATGCTTTGCAGGACATGTTTATAAATTAAATGGAACTAATATGGAATGCACAATAAACGACTTGAACCACCAAATGAAGTCAAAGACTTTGTACCCGTTTTCATGTTTCATACCGGATTTAATTTTTTAAAATGGTGGTGCACTGGTGCTTGATCTTAGTCTTGTAGTAAACCTTGTTGCTGAAAGTTAAGGCAAGAAATTTAAAAATTGAAAAGCAAACATGGAGATTAAAGAAACGAACTTCCTCTCAGTGGGTTATTGGTTGCAGTGCACTCTTATCAGGAGCTGTTGGGAAATTGCATATAATACCTAGTGGGTTGTGGTACATTTTTATTTTTCTCTTTTTCTTCCTACACAAAAACCATTCGTCAGAGGATTATTATGGATGGTTACTGATTAATTTTTCTTCAAGGTAGTTGCTATTTTAAACCTTAATGACAGCATGTACTAATTGGTCATAATTAGGTTACGGAGATGGAAGCTATTCTGCAACAATACAATAACACAATGCCATCACGTGAAGTGCTTATGGCCCTTGCGGATAAGTTCAGGTGTGCCTTATTTCAGAATTTGAATAGATTATGTTCTTCTAAGCTTAAAAAATATGAGACATTTTTCTTTGGTGTAGTGAATCACCAGAGCGGAAGGGCAAGATTACAGTACAAATGAAACAAGTATGAAAATTTTCCATTTTTCCGTAAAGGAATCTCATTTATTCTGCTTGTAATTTCAAACCAGCTTTATAGGGTTTGAAATTGATATGAAAAAAACATTTTAACTTTATTTCTAATTTACGATCTTCATATATTTATAGGTTTGGAATTGGTTCCAAAATAGGCGATATGCTATTAGGGCAAAATCAAGCAAGGTTCTTGGGAAGTTAGATGTGTCACCTATGTCTCGCGATGATTCGGCTGCAGCAAGAAATGTTCCTCAAGGCCCTCAGCAGATTGCTGCTCCTATACATGCTCCTCCTGGTATGATGGAACCTACTTTATTTTTAGTTTAATATTCTTTCTCATTTTCCTTTGTTGAGGGCTTACTTTTCTGGTGGTATTATATGCTCATGTCACTTGTCTGAACGTGTGTTGGTTATCCTATATTAAAGGTGTTTACTTGAATTTGTTTCTTTAATCATCTGCATATGCCATAATATCTTGGACTTCCTTGTTGCATAGATTTGTGGTCAATTAACATCATTGAAGCTTAATGTTCTAGAAATATTTTAAACCGTATATCCTAATAAAACCATCTTTTGGTCTTTAAGTATATAAGATGTTTCAGATATAACTTACTATAATTATTTACGTTAACTGGTGTGTACATTTGACTGCATTTATGTACAGTCATGAATTGCCAAGGAGGGATGTCGTAATGGAGGAGACGACTCTTATTTTAGGTATTTCTTATTAGTCCAAGTCACTCAGAAAAAGATTTACAGTCAAATTCTGATCAAGGGAGGTTCAGTTTGAAGGTTTAGGAAAATCGATAGCCTAACATTTTTTACCATTGATAAGAGAATTTATCCCCGTACAAATGCTGTGTATCTACTTCTTCTATGAAAGGAAAAGAGAAGAATAGTAGAACTGCTGCAGGTTCTTCTACATTTGAAGATACATGAATTGTGAATAGGTACTAGCCAATAAGAAGGCATTTTTCTTTCAACTTCAGTTCTGTATGAGTCGTATCATGACACATGAGATGGCCTACACATTATCAACTCTCCAAATGTTTTGGATAATATCATATTATCTTCTTATAGCCCAGGATTAAACGCAGAGAACATCAGGACCCTTTTTTCACCATCAAATTTTTATTACTGGTGCACACAAAGTGGTTTGTATTTCGTTTCTTCTTCACTTTAGTGGGAAACATTTCTAATTCTTCAGTTGCAAGCAATAAAAGATTACTATCATAAAAAAGTGTTTGGAGAAAGACAAAGATCATTAGTGTGCCAGAGTTTTTGACAGGAAGTATGTGCTGAATGAAAGGTGTTATATTTAGTAGATGTAAAACAATCTTCTACACTATCATATGTGTAGATGCTTGTATTACATCTATTTGAATGAAAGGCGTTATAAGATAATAAAAAGTTGTCTAACTGCATGGTTCAGCCCAATGAAATGTATATGCTGAAAATATTGTTAGACATTATGCATTGTATGTGCTGAAAGTTATTGTAGAGATTATGCTGACGCCTTGACGCCTTGAGTGTCATTCTATTATTTATTATTATCCAATTATTCTTAGCCACATCAGAAATAACATAGACAATACAATCCCATTTTAAATGCTGCTTAATGTAGACAATAGAAACAGAAGCTGTTGAGGGTGTTACTTTGTACGCCTGTTTTTATCTATCTTTTCAGCATACCTTGGATCTTTCTTGCCCTTATTTTCATTTATTGACCAGTTCCAGGCTCAGGAAAGGTTGTTCCTGAAAATGCTATCCATGAGTTTGAAGCTAAATCGGGGAGGGATGGTGCATGGTCAGTATCTCTTTTCTTTATTTTAATGAGTTCCAGTTACTGGCTTGTTAGTGTTTCTCTCCTTCCAATAATATAATTTTCTTTTGTCAGCAATGATTATCGTTTTTTCAGTAATTGGACTCATAACTGAATTATCATTAGTCTTATGATTTCATTGTCTTTTGTGCTCAGGTATGATGTTGCTAACTTTTTAGCTCATAGAAATTTGGAGACTGGTAATCCGGTAATTTTCTAAGCTCAGATTCCCTTCATGAACGGCAAGTTGTTAAAAAGGACTCAATTATAGATTTTTATTATAAAATTCTCTTTCTACTATAGTTCCTTATTTTTATTAGAAAACCCATTATAGTTTTTTATTATCCTCAAACATTTGCTTGAACCCAAATTGAACTGGTTTTCGATCCCAACTAATACTATGACATATGTTGTAAAATGAATCTTGCTGGCTGTTTCAGGAAGTTCTGGTTCGGTTTGCTGGGTTTGGACCGGAGGAGGATGAGTGGGTTAACGTAAGAAAGCATGTCAGGCAGCGCTCTCTCCCATGTGAATCATCAGAATGTGTTGCAGTACTCCCCGGAGATCTCATACTATGCTTTCAGGTGGCATTCATATTTAATGTCTTTGAAAGAACCATATTAGATCAATGGTTACAAGAAGTTCATTGGCAGAAAGTAAAAGTTGAGAGAAGTTATTTCTGATCAGTTCTTGGGAATTGTATACATTTGAATTTTTCAGGAAGGTAAAGAGCAGGCTTTGTACTTTGATGCCCATGTCCTTGATGCTCAAAGACGACGACATGATGTAAGAGGATGTCGATGTAGGTTTCTAGTGCGCTATGTTCATGATCAGTCCGAGGTATAAAACTGCCTGTGTATTTTCTTATGATTTTGTTTTCCACTTGTTTCAGTCTCTCTTATATTATTTCCTCGTGTTACTGCTGGGAATTGTTTTTAAAGTGGTGTTGTACATAAATCCAGCTTAGGTGTTGACAAGCAGCATGCAAAAGCTATGTGCTCCCTTGAATCAAACTTGAATTTAAAATTTGAAAGAAAATTATACGTTATCTTGACATGCTCTTATGATGAATATTATCTTTTTAATTCTTTCTGAGGGTGTGTCCTTTTGATCACAAAACAATTTTGTCAAAAAATGGGACACTACTAGCCCCGAAAAGCAAGGGAAATTTTTCGTTTTCACTTAATATATGGGGCCACATTGGCATTAAATCCTTCTCCTGCAGGTCATTCTTTAACAATTACTGATTACCATAACCTTTTGTTTTTTGTTCTTAACATTCACTGTGCCAGGAAATTGTTCCATTGAGAAAGGTCTGCCGTCGGCCTGAAACAGATTACAGGTTGCAGCAACTGCATGCTGTGAACGAGGCAATATCAGCAGAGCGGAAAAGTATGGAGCATTTTATGGTTTCTGCTACTTCTGGCGAAATGATGCAAAAGCAGCAGAATGCAGAAGCAGCGCATGTTCCCCCAACTTTTCATGTTACTGCTTCTTTACCCACCCAAGCTACAACTCCAGAATTGAGAAGAACTGACATCAGCACGGTTGTTAGTGCAGGGAATTCTAATGCCCCCGTAAGTAGTACTGCAGTCACAAGCGTGCCGGCTACAGTCACCGCTCCCGGTGGCTCGGTCTCAGGCGTGCCAAAAGGAAATTAGTAGGTTGCTTTTGACAAATTTGTCAGCCCCTTGGTGTCAACACAGTTTTCATCAATGTGTGAACTGAGTATGAGCGTCCCCTGTATACTAATTCTGAATGACAGGACTAGTTGAAGAGTGTTGTGAGAGATTTTATGACTTCAATTGTAGCCTTCAGTTGTTCAATCAAAAAGCTTTCAGTTATGTATTTTGGCAATGCTCCATGAACTGTGGGCCACGTTTCGCGGCGCCCTCTGAACTTTCAATTTGATTTCGAGAAATTTCAATTCCTCTAAACTTTTAATTTGGTTTTGAGCCTCACTAAAATTTCAATTCGTACCAATGTCCTATCAATTGTCACAACTTTTTTGTTAGTTTCACGTGTAAGGAACGTGACGTCAATAAGGGCTATGAGCCACTTTTAGCTCGAATTTGTGTAAAATTTGTCTCCAGTCAAAGGCTAGCTACATATAGCAAGCAATCCCCATGACAGGTCACAACATGTGCATCTCAAGCCAAAATAGAAGGATTTAGCCATGCATAGGTGGAATTGAAAAAATTTAGCCTTACATTATTGTTTAAATATTAATTTTTGAAGGGCTAAAACATACTCAAGGACTACGTTTAGCTTTTCATGATCGGAAATGACCTAATGTAGATTAGTATAGAATTTGCTCGATTTAACAAACAGAAATATTGATAAGTGGTTTGTAACTCAGTTAGTCAAAAGCATTTGTCTTTGCACTCAAAATTTTGTGTTCAAATCTCCCTCCTCGTAATTTGATGAATTTAGTACAAATTATCACATGGCATGTCAAAAACCAAACAGAAATATTGAAAAAAAAGTAATGAAAAATTAGCAAAAATACTAATCCGAAAGCCCAAGCAAATGTGGTCCCTGCAAAATCCAACAAAGCAAAGGCGCCACCACGCACTGTGGAACATAACGACCGAACTCCCTCTCCTTCTCTGCGGACCGAAACAGAGACACGTCTCTCTCTCTCTGTCTCTCTCTCTCACCGAGATTCACTTCCCACGCTTCCTTCTCTCTAAAACCCTTAAATCTCTCTTTCTCTCTCTCTCTCTCTCTCTGATGCACTGAGCCTTTGGGATTCGATCGCAAAGGAACAATGCGAATTCTTAAGTCGCGCAGCTTCAGAGCCACAGTCTCCGGCTCCAATCACCCCCTCAAGGTAGGGTTCCGGCGCTTCGTCACCAGCTGCAGAGCCGTGGTGCTGCCGCGCTTCGGCGGGCCGGAGGTTCTGGAGCTCCGGCCCAATGTCGAAGTCCCTGATCTCAAGCCCCATGAGGTCCTCGTCCGCGCTCGTGCCGCCTCCATCAATCCCCTCGATACCAGAGTGAGTCAAATTTCACCTCTTTCTTTGATTGATCCCTTTGTTGCATTTCCATGCTCCATTTGGTTGCCGAGAAAATAAGGGTAATCAATTGTTTGACTTTCAGCTCATTTTCTCCATTTGTTCTTCAAATCCCAACAATAATTTGAGCTATATTTGTGGCAATCAAATTCTATATGTATATGTGTGTATATATATAATTTGTTTGTAATTCAGCTACTTTTATAATGTACTGGTGCTGCTGAGTCTAGTAGTGGATTGTGTTAATTTTTTGGCACAAAGTCTACATTTTGTGCTTAAATTATTTGGCTTTTACTGATATTAGGTTGTTTAGCCCGAGATATTAACAGCCGTTACTTGGTGATATGTTCATACTTTATAGTTATTTTCTGTTGTAGTGACCAGTTATAAACTAATTTTCAAACCCATATATCATATTTTTTTTCGTTTTCTATCGATTTAATTTTGTTAAAGGACTAACTTTAGTCCTTTAATGTCTTAAAGTTTTTGCCAATATTTTTTCTTACAGTTTCTCTTTTGCTATTGTGACAACCGTTCCATTGGTAACTTGAACCCTTTGATTCAACTCTCCTAAAGTTATTTGGTTATATTTTTGTCATACGGCTGAGGTTGCAGATGATTGCTAGTACAGTTATATTCTGCAGAAAGATTATCTTTGTATTCAGTGTTCTGTTTTTCGAATTCTTTCCAGATTCGATCTGGCTATGGTCGTTCCTTATATGGACCTCTCCTACCTATTATTTTGGGTCGTGATATTAGTGGTGAAGTTGCAGCTGTGGGAAATTCAGTTCGAGGATTGAGTGTGGGACAAGAAGTTTTTGGTGCATTGCATCCTACTGCTGTAAGGGGTACATATTCTGACTATGCAATTTTATCAGAAGAGGAACTTGCACCAAAACCAGCGTCAGTTACACATGTGGTAAATATTCTTGTACTTGGTTTCTACCAAAGAACTGTAAAATGTTACTCATGGTGACCTGTTGGATTTTATTGATTTGGTTTCTCTCTATGTTTCTATTATTCTTCATGCCGTCAAATTTATAATTATGCAAAAAGTTTGTTTGTTCTTTCTTTTTTGTTTATTTATTAATTCGTGAAATACTAGCTTTGAAAGGTTCACTAGCTTCAAAACCCAGTGAAGGGCAAGAGAACAAACATTCAAATTTGAATTTTCCACCTGCACAGCAGAAATAGAATTAGAAACAGTTTTCTTAGTTTAGATTCGTTAGGTGAACTGAAGTAAAAACAACCTGATATGGAACTCAGAGTTGACTACAATTATTAAGCAGCATGTTGCTTCGTGAAAATGGAAAGATAGCAATAAGAGGAATTATCAAATCCTTGTAGGTTAACTAGGGTATGGAAAAGGGGGGGTTGCGTATCAGACATAGAAAATATTGAAATGTAGGGGTTGTTGAAAACTTTTTGTTCTGTTTGTAGTTTTTACTCCCATTGTTGTCTTAGAAAATATTGGAAGTGACTTATAGAGTTATAGGTGTTGAAATTCCATGCAAGATGCAATGTCAATATACTATGTTGTCAGTTCTCTCGTGAGGTGATATATATTGTTATGCTGATGAGAGTTTTAATATTTCAGATTCTGTTAACTGCTTTCTAACAACACAATTTGGCCTTATGTTATTCTGTGTGATTCTAGGAAGCAAGTGCCATTCCTTTTGCTGCTCTGACTGCTTGGCGTGCTCTCATAAGTACTGCTAGGATAGCTGACGGGTATGTTACTGTATCTCAGATATTAACTTCTTTTGACATTTCATGAATTCTTCGTTAAAACTGTTGTCAGCAGATTCTTTCGTTTTTTTTGGGTTACAAAGCCTTTGTCATTTTGACTTGGGTTAGTGATTGTTTTAATCTCCTTTGATCACCCTTTTCTAATTAACAGTATAAGAGAAGGTTGTCTTTGTCTGGATGTTACTTTCATAGTGTTTTTCACTTTACTGCAGTTGAACTTTTTTTGTCCAAATTTTTACCATCTTCCCTGCATATTTTAGGTAAAAAGGGGTAAAAGAAAGTATGACATTTTCAAGTTGCTGTGTCTTTGCTAAACATGGATCAAGAGGCAGCTTAATCTTTTTATTATTTTTTGGTTTGGGTTTGATGTGGATAGTTGTACTTGTACCGTTGGTAGTTGCAATGGTCGAAGGTTGTGATGATATGGTTATTGCATCGTATCTGGGTGGAAGCTGTCATTAACAATTTTGCATCCTTTTGTTACTGCATCTTATCTCTACAGTCAAAGGCTGTTAGTTGTGGGTGGTGGAGGAGCTGTAGGTTTGGCTGCAATTCAGATTTCAATAGGCAGAGGTTGCCATGTTACAACTACCTGCGGAAAGAAAAGTATAGATCGAGTATTGGCAGCTGGTGCTGAGCAGGCTATTGACTATACTGCTGAGGTGATGATGCAATCAACTATTACCTAGCTTTCATTTCATCTCATAAGCTGAGTGAAACTCATATAGAAGTTTGTTTCATATGGGTGTTAATACCAAGAATGATTTCTTCCTTGAGTTAACATGTTGAATTTACAGAACATTGAATTCACAATAAAGGGGAAGTTTGATGCCGTACTGGATACCATTGGTGGGCCAGAGACTGAAAGAATATGCATAAACTTTTTAAAGAGAGGTGGCCACTACATGACACTTCAGGTAGGAGATGGGAACTGTTAGCATTACTTCTCTCAAAGGGACCTTTGATGTTTCCTTTCAGAATTTTTCCGCAAGTGCTCTCAAGGCTTTTTATCCTCATTTTCTTGTAGGGTGACGCAGCATCTTTGAGTGATAGGTATGGGATAGCTATTGGGCTTCCTGTTGCTACAGCTGTTTTACTGAAGAAACAGATTCAGTACCGGTATTCTCACGGAATAGGTAAATCCAACATTTCTTGTTTGGTACATGTTTCATCATGCTGCATACTTTGTTCGTATAGTGACATCTGATGCCCTAAATGTATGTTTTGATATTACCTTTTATCAGGCCTAAGTGTATGTTTGCAATCGGTCTGTACAGCAGTTTTAGGGTAACGTTTAAAATTCTTGCAATTGGACATTAGGTGTTTATTCGTTAAAGTTTGCAAAAGGAACCCATAGACACATATGGAAAGTTGTTGAAGGCATCTTTAGGTTGTTATTTACACGGCTTGTAATTTTTCTGTTGTCGATGTAGAGTACTGGTGGACTTATATGAGAGCCGACTCAGAAGGGTTAGATGAGATCCGAAGGCTGTCTGAAGCGGGAAAGTTGAATATACCAGTGGAGAAAACGTTCCCCATTACTCAAGTGATAGAGGCTCACGAGGCAAAGGAGAAGAAGCAGATCCACGGGAAAATAGTGCTCGAATTTGACTGAAGAAAGTTACACTAGCCTGTACTGGTTTTGCCCCTACACTTTTGCCATTTACCACTCTATTTGCCTTTCTTTCTTGGTTACACTCATACCATTTGTTTGGAGCATCCTAGGCCTTCTCCATACAATAAAAGTTGGAAGCTGTACAGGAGTTGCAAGTTTTAGTTGAAAGTTTTTATATATCCATGTACTTTGAAGTCATTAGCCTTTTCCTCAAAATCGTTAGCCGATAGCTTACGTTAAACATACTGCTAAACATACTGCTTTTTTTGGTGAAAATAGGGAAGGATTGGGCGAGATTAGTTCGTTGTCAACATATCGGTTTAAAGAGACGTGCAATGTTTCATTGTGATTGCAAACTTTTGCTCAATGCGACTAGAAAACCGTACCAATAAAATGAAATCAATTTTGTACATAATCATTATATGTTTCAAGGTACAATGGTACATGCTTTGTACCAATTAATTAGTCTCTCTTTCCCTATGATGCAGAAAAATACAGAACTATTAAGCCACGCTTGGTGACTTAGGATTGAATTTTATCGGAGAATTCATTATATCTTGAAGGAAGAAATGGACGTCAACTCTAAATTTTGTTTAAGTTGGAGGTAGAAGATGAATTAGTTATCAAGAAAGCCTAGACCTACCATTTTGTAGAGAACTAGAAGAGAGAGCTAGTTTTTTTATGACTATCCCATCTATTTCATTTATCGTGGACAAAACTATTACTTTAACGTACATTGAACCAAATGAGTTTTCCAACACAATCCAATCCTAGGCACCAAACATGGCTTTATATTAATGAGTTAGGATTAGGGCATGTATGTAATAGGATGCCTTTCAATGTAACTAAAAGTTAAAACAAAACCAACAGAATGATGGTGGTTTCTGCCTCCTTACAACCGAGTTCGATCTCCATCCTTCACATTAAAGTAGTTTTGAACATCGCGTTATCCAAATTGCAAAAATCAAATAATTTATTTTTTAATTTTTACCTTTGGGGAGAAATAGAACAAGTGAAAGCCACTAACACTACCCACACCAATTATTACCTCCCACATATCCTTATTAATTTATGCCCGTGATCTTCTTCAAGTACTCGATCCGACGGCCTAAAATTGAGAGGGATGTGTGAAAATTAAGAAGGCATGCATGGATAGCATTACCCTAAATCTATTATCTATTTGTGAATTGGTCAAAAAGATAAGAAGAGTTTCCTTCTTAACCTAAGTTACCATTTACTTGCCAGAGAAGTGGTTTTATACTTCCATCCCGCCAATCACTCTTATCTCGCACTCTTTCTTGCTCGTCAAGCATCCAAAATATTTTACACACCCAATAATCTTATACGCACGCACGCATTACAAATCATTGAATCAGAGAGAGAGAGAGAGAGAAAGGGAGGAGAGAGGGAGAGAGGGAGAAGAATGTTTCCATTGTTTAAGCTTGGAACACTAGCCGTACGAACTATTTCGAAACCCATCGCGAATAGGCTCAAAGCCGAGGCCGGCTTGCACCCGCGGTTCCGCGAGTACATCATCAGCCTCGCCCAGGTACGTCTACTCTCTGTTTCGCGCTTTCTTGTAGATGTAATTGCTTTTTAATTCGAGTGATAGTCTAATTTAATCCTAAACTAAATTACGGGAAGGAGAATTCAAACTTGGGTTCAAAAGAGGAGTACTACTCTAGCCTCATTTAGATGTAGTTGATAGATTTTTGCTAGAAGCTCGAGTTTTTAAGCGGGTTCTTCCTTTTTGGTTGGGGACTTTTGTCAAACACCTCAAATCAATTGATGTATTTTGTTAGTATTTGATGTCAATTTTCACCGATGGTCAAGGATCAGCCAAACTTAACTAGCAAGAAGATCACATAGTTTTCGTTCTTCCAACAATTTTCTTCTGTATTTATAAAGTTTATGCACCTTTAAATCGAACAACTGAGTTCGAGAACCCAATTAAAACTCGGTTCCTAAGTTCATTGACTAATGCTCTAATTCACATTGAATTTCGAAGGCCCTCAGAATTCAATATATGAATTCCCATGGATGGTGGCATTTCAACTTTTGTGTTCTTTATCCAAACTATTTCTTGTTTTAAACTGATGTATGATGCAGTAACCCCTGCTACTGTAATCAGGCGAACTATCGTTTCACAACGAATCTCCAAAGACGTCTATATGGACGCGCAACGGATGTTGTGATCCGTCCTCTGGATGAAGCAAAAGCTGTTGGAGCTGCTGCTGAGTTTCTTGGGGAACTTGTTATTTTCTCGGTAACTAGCTGCCGCATTACCTATCCGCTTTTTCAGTGTCTCTAGGTTTCAGAATTGCGTCACCCGTGAGGAAAACCTGTATGGTATGCAGGTTCAGAAATATAAACTTTATGTTTGCTCTTATGTTCTGCATTGATATATTTGATGACATCTTATTTGTTTTTGTAATTAGATTTTTCATATAGGCCACTAGAAACTAATCACAAACGTAAGATTGCGGCTGCTTTGTTTACTTGTAGGTTGCAGGACTCGCTGTTATCTATGAGGTGAACAGAAGTGCTAGATCAGAAGCTAGGAAGGAGGAACAGCGCAAGCAAGAAATAGAGGTAAGCCACAAGCCTTTCTTTACTTTTTTGGAGGGAGGCTTTTGTTCTTGGATTCAGTTCGCGATTTCTTGAAAGGAACGTATATGTAATGCCACAAAAAGAGGAAAAATCTGAGTACCAAGTATAATAGAGGCAGTTCCAATGGGTTTAGAGGTGCTAGGCGAACTATAGTTAGAGTTTTACTTGTAAACCGCGCGTTTTTCTTAATGTGACGTCTTTCTGCAACATGAAGTTGAAGAACGTAAGTCCTGCTCGCCTTGCCTTTGGGTCGGCCCTAAGCCTTAAGTAGTTTGCGGTTGAACAAGAGCTGTCGAAAACTACTAAAAGACGACCCCTTAGGATTTAGCCGTTTAATTTCATGTGATCATCAACTTTTTAATAAAAATCTTCCCTACTTAGTGAAATTTAAAGCACAAGTTGCAGGCTTGCAGCTGTTGTCTGAGTCAACATTCAACCGCAGGGAAGTGATTTTCGTATTCTCTTTTCTGCCCTACACTCATTCCTTCCGTTCTAGCCTTCTGATTAAACATATCAAAGGAGAATCAACGGACAAACAACGAGAGAAGTGCGTAATAAGAAGAAACCAAGAGTCTGAAAATTACCATCCTAATTATATCTCTCTATCTGCTAAGTTAGAAAGATCATGAGTAACTATTGTTCTTTACATTTTGAAAATATAGGGACTGAAGAAAAGGGGGACAGATTTAGAAAAACAAGTGCAATGTCTAAAGGTCAAACTGCAAGAGATGGAGCAACTTGTCCAGAGAAGAAGCTGGCTTGATTTCTTTAAGTTCTGGCACGCCCAGGCAATGTTACAAGACCAAAAGTCTGCAATGTCCTGTGATTTCCTCCATACTGATGCTGCTTCCAAGCTATGAATGGTGTACAGAAATGGAAATTTCGTATTTGTCTTGGAAATCAGCTGTGGTCTGCCTGGAACGAGTTTTGTGTTCCTTGGAACGTGTGCAGGACATGAGTTTAGTCAAATTAGTTAAAGCAATGTCTTCGGCCCAAGTTTGAATCTTTCTCCTCAATGATTTAGATGAATTTAGGTAATTTTTATACCGTTTGTCCCAAATTAAAATGAAAATTATACTATACACTGAAACTTTTAATTGTTAGATTTTGATCATTGTGTCATTGATCAAGGATCTAACGGTTAAAATATCAAGCGTATATCTGTCATAATGTGAAACCAAAATATGAATAAAAGACCAATTTATATGGCACGTGACGTCATGATAATAGTGTATTTGTGTTATGAAAGTTCATCTCCCACTATATGGGAAAGTCTTGGCTATCATCGGGACATTACGAGTGCTATTAAAAATGTGAAATATTTCCAATTGTATGCAAGTTTTGATCACACGGCTGGCTCCTCCAAGGTATAAAATGGCCCTGCAAACTTAGATTTTGGGCTTCCAAGAGTTTAAATCTGAAACCTAAGTGAGAAATCTGCGCCGGTCGTTCGTGAATGACAAAATTTAACATGTCAATATTCAAGCAATTAGTCATTGTCTTAATGAAACTGTGCCATATCACATATGGGCGAGTCAGACAGTACCAACGGCAAAGGGTATGGATGACCTATATCCATAGGGAACCGAGACCCTACCCTTTAAGTTTAGGGGTAGTGCATATTGGCAAATTTGGGATTCGAACCTTGAGGTGTTTCAGTATTAAAAGTTCAAGTTTTTAAAATAGAAACAGAGTACGAAGCGCATAAAAAGAATTTCAGTTTAAACACTAATGCATTTATTCGAATACTAGGAGGGCTTGTTGGCGTAAGCAAAATCATATTGCGCACATGTCAATAGATATAGACATATGCCGATGGGTGATATTAAGAGATTTTGTTAAGTGCTGTTGATACAACATGTCGAAATATACCAAGCAGACATTACATCAAATACTTGATGAACATAAAAAAGATTTGTACCAAACATTCGAAGAGTCCTTGAAAGACTTTCACATGTTTATTTCTGATACTCTAAGTGATCTTGAGACTACTTTGATTCCAATGTACATCCACACTTAGTGCAGATACAGGCTAGAGCCATGGACCACCTGACCTGGTATTGAAGGTAGGTTAACATAGCAACATGTTCATTAATCATCTTGGGTCCAAACATGTATTGAAAACCTCAAAGACCAAGCTTTAATTTGTTCGATTACAGTTGTCCTCACCTGACTTTAGGGCTTAAATTAAGAAATAATTAAGTCGTAATCTGCTTTTGATACTGGTTTTGTCTGGTTCTGGTACTGCTAATGGTAATGGTCAAACCAAACTCCTCTATTTGAAGAAACCTTGACCAACTTAATCATATGACTCATGCTTTTGCTTCTTTGATTCTGTGAGGCTTTGTTGGCAGCTTGGCCTTTTTATATTTTAGATTATTTGCCTGCCTATGAGAGAAGGAAAATTGTTGCAGCAATTGTCTGTTGAAGAAGCTACAGCGTACATTATCATATTGACACTCATCCAAGAGGCACATGCCATGTTAACTCAACACAATATATATATATATATATATATATATATATATATATATATCACTAACACAATGCCACCACAATATATATATATATATATATATATATATATATATCACTAACACAATGCCACCACTTTTAGTTAATGTTTGATATGAAAGTATTGTGATTGTGGTAGTGACAAAGATGGTGCGGGTGAGGGTGAGGGTGATGGTGAAGGTGGTCAATTCTAAGATGGTGGTGGTAGTGGTTGTAGTAATCATGGGAGTGTAGAGGCAACTTGGAAATAGGAAATGCGACAATGACGATGTTCGTATAATCAATCAACTGTAACAAATAGATAAATGACTTGTTTAGCAAAAAATGTAGTATTACGAGTCATTTATCTATTTTTTTACCGCTGATTTACTAAAACAACCTTAATTTTAATTGATTTGTTTGTAGAGATACTTTTATTGAGTGATTTATAGATCAATTCTAATTATAAGCCTAAAGTTTTGTAAATTGACTGTAAAAATAAAAAAAAAAAAAATATATATATATATAGAGTGATTTATAGATTAATTTTGATCATAAGTATAAAGTTGTGTAAGTTCTGATTTATAGTGTGATTTATTATTTGTGCCAACACAAGTTTTACAGAGTTTTTTGATTTAATGATTAAAAAGAAGTATATCATTAATCTTTGTGGTCCTTCCCACAATGGATAATAACCCTTATCTTTTATTTACCTTTCTTTTCCTCACGCGCTGCTTGTGTGCGCTTCTCTATGTGAAGCGTGAGAATATATCCACTGGAAGTCTTGAACCCTGGGCTCTGCAATACTCACACCAACTCTCCAAACCCACGCGCGTAAATCAGAATCCTTAAGTACACAGATACTCCAGACGACAGATTGTTTTCCACGCTCTACTTTCTCGCGTGGGTCAACAAATTTTCCACCCTAATTATAGACCATAATTAAGATAGGTAATTAAGCTTGATAATGATGATGATGATAGTAATCGTATTCCGGTCACGTGCTCCCTTTTGGATTCTTCTCTGTTTCTCACACCGTTCCCTGTGTGGAGCCCCCCATGTGATCTCGCTTTCAAAAAGGCCCACCTTGTTGCATGTAATATCAAGATTTGCCACTGCGTCCTTGTCATCTAGCTGCCAAGGCCAAGAGGGAAGGGAATAAAAACTGCTTGTGAGTGGGAAAAAAAGGAGAAAGTGGCGACACCACACGGACAGTGAAATTGGTGATTTGATATTTTCAAGACACACTTGTCTCTCACTCACTTGTCTTTTATTTTTGTAGAAAATTAATAAAAATAATTTAAAAACTTTAAATTTTAACGATAAAGACAAAATAAAAAATGAAGTAAACAGTATCAAAATTGACTTTTTCGTTAAAGTTCCTTTATTTTTATTATTACTTTTACTTTTCTCATCGGCTCTCCACGTTGCTTGAGGACCCCTTTTTGACATCACACTCATCACTTTGGAAGATATTCGTTCATGGAGATAGGGTCGGTACGTGGCGTTATTTTAAAATAATTATGTATGTTTAAGTTAAAAAAATATTTTATTGTAGATAATTAGAGGAGAAATTTTTTTTCATCACAAATTTGCTATTCCTTTGTGTTTATGTTGAAAATGTCAATCTCACATTGAAATTTATGATCTTGTATAATAATTGTATTAAAGAGCGTTGCACAATAGTTTAAAATCCTAGTTTAGATGATGTTGCATCTCTCTACCCATTGCTAAATTAATTAATATGGATTGCAAGTTTAGTGGGAATGGGATTTAAATGAGATAGATGTGAGGATTGGAGATTAGGAAGTACCAAAGAGTGAACGTGACACGCCTGACCCTAGTATTCACCAAACACCAGGGTAGGCATGTGTTGGCCGACACCTGAAGGTGACGAAACCATATCAGGATGCATGAGAACTAAAAACAAATAACTGAAATAAGTAAACTTATAAATTTAATTATAATGAATATGCAATTGTGGATCGTGATCAGAGCATACAACTAATCCGAGACACTAAAAAGTAATAATATTAAAATGAATGAAAAAAAAGGGATGGGTCCTACACCGAGAGGACTCGAATATGCCGATGCGGGAGTGCCTTGACGCTGTGATTCTACGCCTCGATTCTAAGTCCTAAGGGGGCGTAATACAAAACATGAGTGGACCAAGTTGATATATATAAGTAATATTAAAACAGTTAATCTTTAACGTACTAACCCCCATGTTTAGAAAACTCATATAGGATAATAAGTAATAGGTTTTTCCAAAAACCCTAGCATGCCATAAAACCTTTCATAAAACATATGCTTAGTAGCAGTAGCACAAGGCATATATATATATATATATATAAACATATATCTCCATTCGCTCGAAGGCACAACATCTTCCGGTTAAAGCCAATATAAATATCTTCTGGCCAAAGCCATCTACAAACGCCCGACCAAAGCCAATATAAATATCTTCCGCTTGTAGACACCAACCAAACGCCCGGCTGAAGCTAATCTTATATCTCCGGCCCATAGGCATCAACCAAATGCCCAGTCGAAGCCAATCTGATATCTCCCGCCCGTAGGCACCAACCAAACGCCCGACTGAAGCCAATCTTATATCTCCTGCCCGTAGGTACTAACCAAACGCCCAGCTGAAGTTAATCTTATATCTCCCGCCCGTATGCACCAACCAAATGCCCGACCGAAGCCAATATAAATATCAATCAACCTGTAGGCCCCTACATCACCCGACCGAAGCCATATATAGATATCATTCGACTCGTAGGCCCCTACATCACCCGACCGAAGCCATATATAAATATCATTCAAATAATTACTAAATAAGTACATAAACATAAATAGAATATTTCTAATATATATATACACCTCAAACGTAGCTCAGTAACTAAAACGTCATATCGTAAAACCACGTTCATAAATAGGTATATAGTCATCAATCATATA